TCTCTCTCTCTCTCTCTCTCCTCTCTCTCCTCTCTCTTCTCTCTCTCTCTCCCTCTCTCTCTCTCTCTCTCTCTCTCTCTCTCTCTCTCTCTCTCTCTCTCTCTCTCTCTCTCTCTCTCTCTCTCTCTCTCTCTCTCTTCTCCCTCTTCCTCTCTTTTTTTATCCCGGAACCCAGGTCATGTTAACAAATATTCGCCAGAGAGGAAATTGATTCGATTATTCTCATAGTTCGAAATGACAGATAAAATCGCAATTTCCTTCGGGTTTCAGGGTCAGGCCACATTTTTAGCCCACTTCCTTAAAAAAGAAACGACAGAAAATAAAAGAAATAAACGCCTTTCGCCTTTCTTTTGTCTTTTGTATTCACCACATCATCATCTTGCGTATCAATCCTCCCCCTTCCTTCAATATTTACTCTTATCTGAATACTCGTTTATTCATTGGTTCCGCGAGCTATTTTTGCGTGTGCCAATTCTCACCAGTCGAGGTCACGCCTGTACGTAACGCGGCCGGGTGACAGGCATGCGAAATTATACATCACGGACGGCGCTGAGGCGACGTACGTGTCAGCGATGCGACCTTCAAGGGGTGAATGGTTTGGGGTGGGGTGGGGAGGGGTGGGGTGGGGTAGGGAAGGGGGGGTGAGGTGATAGTGTGGTTCCATTTTTGGTCTTTTCTCTGTCTGTCGTCTGTCTGTCTCTCTCTCGTCTCTGTCTCTCTCTCTCTCTCTCTCTCTATCTTCTATCTCTTATATCTGTCCGTCTATCTATCTATACTGTCTCCACATCTCGCTCTCCGTATCTTTATCTATCTATAGCGAATGCTTTAATCTAAGTTTCTTGATACTGGTAAAAAACACAACACATACACACATACACATATACATATATACATAGATAAATAGATAGATAAATTGATGCACAATACACATGTTCAGACACACACACACAACTATGTCTATGCATACATATATACATCTATCTGTCTGTCTTCATGATATCACTCAATTTTTCGGTCGCAGTTTGAAATGTGTTCCTGTTTGACGGATGATGCATTTGATTATATCTTTTTAATGCTGATAAAGATTAGATTAATTGGAATGGAAGCGATTTTAATTATTCGGATTAAACATAATTACATTGTAAAAAAAGGAAACTACAGAGCATCAAGCCAGAATAACAATATCTATTTCTTAAAGAACTGCCATTAATAACCTACTTAAATACAAGATTTTTTGAAGGCAAGATGTTCCTTTATAATACAAATGTAATGAATTTGCATGTTACACAAACCATAGGAAGATATATAGATACAGATTGAAAGGTGAATAGATAGCGATAACCTTATCAAAAATCAAAATCTATATTTCCATCAATCTATCTGTCTCCCTTTCTATCTATTCATCCATCCATCTATCTACCTACCTATCTGTCTATCTATCTATCTGTATATCTATATCTATATCTATATATATACATACACATACATAATATATATATATATATATATATATATATATATATATATATACATATATATATATGTATATGTATATATTATATATATAATATATATATATATTATATATATATATATATATATATATATATATATTATATACATACACAAAGGAAGAGATATATGCATACATACATAGAAACACACGCGCACACACACGCACACACACACACACACCCGCACGAATATGCCGAAGGCCTTTTCACAATATGCCCTGACGAAGCAATAGTGAAAAGGCTTCGGCATAATTCGTGTGTTTTCTTGCCCTTCCGTTGTTCCTGTTGCAATCTGTTCACCATGAATTCCAACACACACACACACACACACACAATATGTATATATATATGTAACCCACCTATATCTATATCATATTAATATATTGACTTATCGCGATCCTTAGACCACTGTAGGAGATGACGGCAGACCCTTGTAAGGCCCAACGGGCTCTTACAATATATATATATATATATATATATATATATATATATATATATATATATATATATATAATATATATATATATATATATATATATATGTATGTATGTATATATAATATATATATATAATATATATATATGTATATATATATATATATATATATATATAGTATATATATATATATATATATCATGTGTGTGTGATGTTGTGTGCAATATATATACATACATGATGTGTGTGTGTGTGTGTTAGCAGTAGCCTAGGAAGCTCAAGGGAAACTCAAGAAACGGAGCGACAGATCTCCTTACGCGCAAATTACACGATCCATTTCACGATTCGCGTCCAAACAGTCACGATAAATCTGTACAATCAAAGTTTGGCATTAATGTGATTTAGCAGAATCTCATTTCCATTTGATCCGCTTTGCGATGCACGGCGGGAATTATGACACGCCTGGGGCTCGGGTGCGCAGGGCGGCGCTGCGGGTACACGCTGCGGCAGGAACGCCACCTCGGTCTGGCGGTCTCTCTCTCGCTCTCTCTTTCGACGATATATCTGTTTATCTGTATGTATGTCTTTACACACATAACACACATGCACACACACGGCGCTCACACACACACATATATATTATACTATATATATAGTAATATAATTATATAATACAATATATAATATATAATAATATTATATAAATATATATATATACTATATATATATATAATATATATTATTTGTTTTGGTGTGTGTTGTCTGTGCGTATGTGGTGTGCTGTGCTGATGTGTGTTCTGGACATAATACACACATTACACTACACATCACACAACACCACACACACACACAACAACACACACAACACACACACACACACCACAACACACACACACACACACACACACACCACACACACCACATACACACATATATATATATTATATATATATCATATACTATATACTGGGTATACACACACACACTCATATACTATATAATATATTATATATATATACATCTTATATATATATAATATATACATATACGTAATATAATATATATATATACATATCTATATATATATTTAATAATATCATATATTATATATACTATATTGTAATATTATATATATATACATATATATATTCATATAATATATTATATATATATATATATATTATATATTATATATTATATATAATATATATATAATGTATATATATATATAATATATATATATATAATATCATAATATATATATATTATATATAATATGTATATTATATGCACACCACACACACACACACACACACACACACATACACACACAACAACACACA